TTGTCACTCAATTGTCATTATATATATATACAGTGTATATATATATATATATATATATATATATATATATATATATATATATATACACAGTATATATTTTAATATATACAGTATATATTTATATATACTGTATATATTTTAATATATACAGTATATATTTATATATACTGTAGGTTCTGTCCATTCTAATACATTAGGAAGATAAATTATGAATGTGATGCTACACTCTAATGGATTATTTCAAACGGTCTCTCCATAATTTTTTCATGTCTAGTGCTTTATTTAATGGCTTCATGTCCAATCTAATCCCCCCTATGGCTTTTGACTAATGTAAAGTGCGGTCAAAATCCTTATTTTAGATATATTGTTAATATTTATAAAAAAAGTGACTATTGGATAGCAAGGGCGGTTCCTGAATCCCGCCGTGGTGGAGGTTCACGGGCTGCCTGTTAATTTCTCAGCAACAGAGCAGCTGTTGAACGCTTTAAACAAAAGGTGAAGCTCTGCGCTTTGTCCTCCAGACACGGAGAAAATGACACAGACAGGCCTTTGGGAGTTTCTTGTGTACAAGGCTTGTGTACAAATACGCTGCAATTAGCAGAATTTATGAGCGAGCACACAAACCTGCTTAGGATCCGTTTCTGAGTCAAGTATGCCCGTGGAGTGATGGGTAGAGCACATGTGGTCGAGGTCATCTGACAAATAAACGGAAAACATGCATCAATCAGCCTGAGGAATAATTTAGCTGCTAAGGCCATAGAACATAAACTGCAGAGTTTTTGAGCTCAGGTCAGTATGTTGTAGTGATTATGAAAACTGGGGTTTATTTATAAAACATGAGCAGAACATATTTTATTGTAACTTGTTCATAAAACCATTTACAATGCAAAGTTTTATGTAAGAATGGTTTTATGAACTACATGCAGAGAAATTCGATCTGCTTGGATTTTATTGGGAATTATGTATTAAAACATTTAGTGTAAAAATGGGACAGTTATCATACGAATGATTTTACGAACGATTTACACAGACATATTTCTGCTTGTATTTCATGAATGGGATTTGTGTGTTTTCAGAGCCATGGCTTTAAAATTACTGTACATACACTGACGTGTTGAGCTATGATGCTCATGTGGGCAACACCGGTTCAAATCTGACTTGCAACATTTCCTGATCATGTTCCACCTGACACTCTCAGCATCATATGTCTTTTGTAAGCAAAACAAATGTCTGATAAAACGTTTCAATTCTTATCTAACAATTTTTACATAGTTAACAGGATAAAAAAGTTTTTTTCTTTAACACATTTTTCTGTTGTTATATAAAGTTTTTACGAACTACTGACGAACACAGAAATCCATTCCTCTCATTTTGCTCATGTGGTTGATACAAACGATTCTTTCATCCATTGTCAGAGAAATTTACACATTTGTCGATCTCATTGTGTTGTGGGAGCTGTAGCTTAGCAGTACTGCCTACTTGTGGTGCTCATGTGGGAAGTGTGGGTTTGAATCTGACACAGTTCACAGTTATATTCCCTCTCTCTCCTCTCAATCTTCTGTCTTCCATGAGCAGAACGGATTTCTGTGTAATTCATTTGTAGTGTGAACTTTTTTTATTGAATTATTTAGCATTAAGTATTAATATTTCCTTAACTGGCTTGCTATTTTAATTTTAATTTTAATTGAATTTTAAATTAAATTTATTTAAATTAAAATTTATTTACATTAGATTTACACATGCTTCATGAAAAAGGCTCATTGTGTGTACTGAGAGCCACAGCCTAGCAGTTGGTGCACATACTCGGTACTCAAGTGGGAAAAGTGGGTTTGAATCTGACTCACAACCAGTTCACATTCACATTGCCCTTTTCTCTTCACAAATTCAGTGCTCGATGAGCTAAACAGATGTTTGTGTAAATCATTTGTAGAACTGTTTTTATTTGCAATTCAATTGAATAATTGCATTCAGTTCACATCTGGTTCAAAAATAGTTTGTAAAATCAGTTTTACGTCAGTTTACACAAGAATTTATGCAAAAAATGCACCTTCTCATTGTGCACATGTGGGAAATTTGAGATTGAATCTGGCTTGCAAATGCTTATTTTCACCCTTCCTTCCCATTATTTTCCTTACTCTCTCTACTTTCTCTCCAAAAAGTCTCAATAGACTTTAATCAGGTAAGACACCATATTGAATTTAATGGGGATGAGAACGAGGCTGTGAGGGATAGACTTACAGATTTTACAATAGCATGTGCTATTTGTGCTAATCATGCTATTTTCACAACTAACAACTTTCAAAATTGCTTTGTGGAGTTCTAGTCTACTGAAAGTTCTTTTTGGAAATATGTTTCATCAGCTAAACAATCAATATGTTGTTAAACTACAGTACAATCCATTGAATGCTCTGTACTTCTATCTTTCACAGCTTAGCTTTCATTCCTGTCAGAAATCACATATGGTGCTACCCTGCCTGAAGTCTATAGGCACTTCAAAAAAGTGCGGTGATGTACTTTGAGTATTCGGGGGGAAATCTTGATTTCAACCGATCACAGAAGAAGTGACAGACTTCACCATCAGACTCCAGCACTCAAGATGCCAACGTGGGGCATGCAGCTTGGGAGCCGCAGATAGGCTAAATACTTGCTCCGACTCGAGAGTATGCAAAGCCCAGGAGTGCATTAAAGACTTCAGCTGCATTTGTTGACTGGCTTAGGGCAGCTCTGCTGTAGCAGCTTAATGATAACACATTATCTCTTTCTTAACACTTATTTTCTAGTGGGCAAAACAGACACGGACTCACTTCCTTTCAAGTCTGCCAAGTGGAAGCAAACAAAGTTTAAATGATTTATGACTATGTAAGGTTAGCCGATGCCTGTGGCAAAATGAAATGTTCTGCTGACCTTTGTCTTTGTAGCTACACTGTGGATGAAAGCTTCATTACGCCACAAACCTATTTAGATGAGGCATGTTATTAGCCTTGATGGCAGACAACAAGAACAGACTCAAAAGACTCTTCAGGATCCGGATTGATAAATGTTATTGTTTGTCTGCTGATGGCGAACGGTCTGATTACATGCTAAGCTTCCTGACGTGAAGAATGGCAAATAAGGATGTTAAGGATTTTGTTGGGGATGCAGAACTTTTGCCACACAAATGTGTTGTGGCCTTTTCACACCGAGGCTGATTATTCAACTATGGTAACTTCTCTAAAAAAATAATTAAAAAAAAATATAGGCTAAATACTTGCTCCGACTCGAGAGTATGCAAAGCCCAGGAGTGCATTAAAGACTTCAGCTGCATTTGTTGACTGGCTTAGGGCAGCTCTGCTGTAGCAGCTTAATGATAACACATTATCTCTTTCTTAACACTTATTTTCTAGTGGGCAAAACAGACACGGACTCACTTCCTTTCAAGTCTGCCAAGTGGAAGCAAACAAAGTTTAAATGATTTATGACTATGTAAGGTTAGCCGATGCCTGTGGCAAAATGAAATGTTCTGCTGACCTTTGTCTTTGTAGCTACACTGTGGATGAAAGCTTCATTACGCCACAAACCTATTTAGATGAGGCATGTTATTAGCCTTGATGGCAGACAACAAGAACAGACTCAAAAGACTCTTCAGGATCCGGATTGATAAATGTTATTGTTTGTCTGCTGATGGCGAACGGTCTGATTACATGCTAAGCTTCCTGACGTGAAGAATGGCAAATAAGCATGTTAAGGATTTTGTTGGGGATGCAGAACTTTTGCCACACAAATGTGTTGTGGCCTTTTCACTCCGAGGCTGATTATTCAACTATGGTAACTTCTCTAAAAAAATAATAAAAAAAAAATTTATATGCTGTACCTGTGATTTAATTGCTCAGAGAAACTGTTTAAGATTATCCAACTAGTTACACCAGTATACTAGCATCACATTCTTGGCCAGTAGTTCAGTTCAGCAGGATGATGATGACTGAAATCACAACTCAATCTCATGAGAAAATGTAACTATTTTACAAAGTCATTTCATATAAATTTGTGCAATGTGATTCATACAGAAATGTACGATTTTTAGAAACGTGAATAAGGCTGACAAGCAGTGTTCAGCTCTCAAGTTCTCTCAAAATTATGAACAAATGTTCTTCCAGTGATTCAATAGAATGTTCATTCAAAGTTATCTGGGGCCGGTTGCACCAGCTGGACGTACACCCGGTTGTAAGACTAGGCTGGACGTAAAATGAGCTTTAAGTCCTGCGTAGAATTTATACCCGTTGCACCATCTCGGCGTAGTGCTACGTCTCATTGTAGCCTACATAAACTTGATAGTCAGCTATAAAAAAATAACTAGAGAGAAGTCAGCTATAAAAAAATAACTCTAGAGAGAAGCATTGTATTACATTTATTATATTTTACTTAACCTTGATGAAATCTGTCATGGGAGTGTGCAGGGAGACTTCAGATATAAAAACGCGGACTTGTTAGGAAATGTTTACTCAATGAAATCATAGCGCGGTGATTTCACTTATATTATGTCTTGAGCAATTCAGTTCTATATTAGTAGTTGTAGCCATTGCGGCGTGAACGTCGTCTCAGCTATATCTATAACTGAGGGAGAATGTGTCGGCGTGGACGCGCATTGTCTACGCCGGGCGTAGTTGCGCCTGATCGTAGTTTCAGTTGGTGCAACAGGTGTAAATATTTATCGTAAAGCAGGATGTTGCAAAGCCCAGCGTAGGGCTTATACCCAGTATTTTTACATCTAGCTGGTGCAACCGGCCCCAGTTCTTCAAAATGTAAAATAGATACTAATTGCCATGTGAGTATGTTGGAAATGCCAACAAACTTGGCACTGTTCATACATTATCATTACCTATCCTTTTTTTTTTTTTGGTAGATATACTAGTGAAGCAATTTAGGTATGTTCAGGTATAACCAAAATAATAGCACATGGCTTTTCAGGTAATATTACCGATTATCTGATGCTATCGCTAATGGTTTTACGTTGTCATTTTCAGGTTTCGACACCTACTTTACATCACGCACACTGGAGAACAACAGAAGGAACGTCTGGTTTGCTGAGTTCTGGGAGGAGAACTTCAACTGCAAGCTCATGAGTTCCTCCAAGAAAGAAGACACTAGCAGAAAGTGCACAGGTAAATGCTAACAGCTCATTTTTGCCTAAAAACACCTCATGCTATGACATGCAGGTTTTCTTTCAGCGAGTTGATGATGTTTGCCCTCTTGACTGAAAACCTAGCTTAAAAATTCTGTGTAAGCTGGTAACTGTACAGTCTTTTCATTGATGGTAACTTAGGGTGACCATGCGTGCCATTTTCCCAGGATGCGTCCTGGCCAGGATTTCTATATTGCCTAAAATATCTAGGTTTTGGCTTTGTTTGCGTGTGCAGACCGATCGGTGTATGACATCAAAATACCATACAGACAGTTATGCTTTCAAAATGCTCTCGAGGTACTTTGATGTCAAACACTGATCGATCTGAGCCGCGCTGCTTTTAAGTCGAACACATCCTATGTACGAGTAATTGCATCGCTTTGACCGTAGATCCCACCTTCTCACACACACCATGATTGGTCCATTATGTACAATGCCTGCATGTTATTGGTCAAACTACTTTTCGATCATTACCTTCAGCAAGCATGAAAACAGGAAAAAACAAAGCCAAAACAAATCCTGGCAAGGACGCGTCCTGGGAAAATGGCACGTATGGTCACCCTATGGTAACTGGTCGAAGTTGATCTTTAGCAACAACAGGTGATCAGGTGATTTTGGTAACTGGTTGACCGCCTAACTGACCAGCTTGGACCTGCTAATAACCGGCTTACACCAGCTAGTTACCAGATAGTGTGTAAAAATCAAAGCTACCAGCTTTAGCTGGATTTTCCAGCAAGGAATTATAAACACTTGCTGCAGTGATTGAAAAAAGTATAAAAGTTACCACTGTTTCCCTAGCTTTTTTTTTTTTTTTTTTGAAGAAACCTTTCAGGCTTTGACTCCAGCTTATTAGCGCTGCGTTTCTGAATACAAAGCACATTCTCCACTGTAACAGAGCTCTCAATTACATAAGCTTCCCTCAGCTCATCATGGCTAGTTCAGGCTGACAGGTTCCCAATTCCCAGTCAGCTACAAGACAGAGTAAATGCGCATCAAGATTGTAACCGAAATTTGGGAATATTCATAACAGGATAGCATAAGTATGCATGCAAGGTTGTTTTCCTTTCTTATTTAAAAAAAAAAATAGGTGTAGCTTTGGATGCATTAATCCAGGATTGAGTAGAACATTACATTTTAAGCAATGATATCCATTATTACTAAAGTAGAATTTCTAAGTTGTAAAATCATTTTTAAATTGTATATGCATGTATTTTGTCTGGTAGCCTGTGGCGAAGTCAATATCAGCACAAGGGGTAAACACTCTGGAGTATCTAGAGTAATTAATGTAGGAATCAATACTATTGACTACGTGCTAACGAAATTAAAAGAATGACAAAGAAATTGTTACCCAGAATTGTTCTGTATTGTATAATATGTCCTTTCACATTTCTCTAAGAAATATGATGCTTGTCAAGAGATGTTTATTGATATTTGAACTGGTGAAAACTCAGTTAATTGACTAATGATGTGCACAACTGTCACATATGAAAACAGAGACAGTGTACAACAACTGGTTTTTGCTTCAGGACAGATTTTACAGCAATTGCTGTAAAATTGCCCAATGCTGTACCAAACCTCTTTATTGCGCAAAATTGAATTTCAGTGGTTTGATGCTCTCAGCAGCTAATAATTCACTGCACAAAACACCAAGGTGCAAAGGGGTCTGGCAGCTCTAACAAACCTAACCAAAATGGTCTACCAGGTCAAAATAAGGTCCACTAGATGGTACTTGAGGTGTTCTGCTATTTAGACCACATTGGACTAACATACATAAGATAGAAACTATTTGACTGTCGCCTACACCTTATGTCAAGTTGGTAGTAACATAGCACCAGCCTCAGACAGACCGCCGGCTCGCCCACAGATCGCCCACAGTCTGTTCGCAAACCGTCTGATGCACATTGCACAAAGATGGCAAGAACTGACTGAAAAACACTATCCTTGCTGGTCACTGTTGTGCAATTTGTTTATTCCACGACTGTTTATTTTTGTGGTACCAACCAGTGTTACCAATTGTGGTTTTCCTGCAAAATTGGGCTACTTTTGCACTGTTGCTGTGGGTTGTTATTTTAGCCTGCAAGTCAAAGCAATTTCACGATTTTGATGGAGAGGAAAACCATGGAAAAAAACTGATTGGGCTACTTTTGAATAAGAATTAGGATGGTTTTGTTTCGCAGTCCTGGCAACCCTGGTACTAACTTTTTTCATATATTAATGACACATAAAAATGTGACAAATTCTGATTGGTCACTTTTTTTGGCATTCTTGACCTTTCTTGGTTAAGTGGTGAGTGTTTGGCCAGAATAAATTGAAAAATGGAAATTGTATGCAATTAATCAAAAGTCTAGCTATCTGAGTAGTAACATTTAACGTGCTTGAGACCAAAAGACTAATTAGCATATGTTGGCTTTTTGAATTTTTTAACAATTTCTTGCATGTTATATTGCCGTTCAAACAGCAGCATAATACAGTCCTATTTTTGAGCACTAATATGGTTGTACAATCATTCCTAAATGCAACTAGGCACGAAACATTTTTAAGAAGTATTTTTTTTCTTGTTTTCCTGTAACTAAAACGTCTTTAAAACAAGATATTTTTTATTGAAAAGTGACATTTTTGTAAGACAATTAAGCCCTGTTCACACCAAGGACGATAACTATAATGATAACGATAAAATATAGTCTTTCAAATCGTTCTAAATGTAAAAAAAATAACAGAGTTCATACCACAACTATAACAATAATGACACATAGGAACAATATCGTTGGAATCACTTTTTAGAACATTTTTTTTTCCAGCTGATGAATGATAAAAACATTGACAGCAAATCAGAATCCATCCTGCTTTAAGGAGATTGACAATTTAAAGCTGCAAACGACAAAACTGCAGTGCGTGCTTATAATAAACAGAACATTATCGCTATGCTAATATAGTTATATAGTTATAATATATCTTTATAGTCATCGTTCTTTGTGTGAACGGGCCTTTAGACTTGTTTTTATGCAATAAATCTTTATTTCATTTACACTATTTTTGTTTGTTTTAGTTACAAAGTGGTGTCTTGCACTAATATTTTTTTATATATACTGACACCTAGTGGTGTAGATGAAGCATCACTAAATGTGGTTGCATTTGGTGTGAACTCATCCACTATACAAATAGTTGTCTCTTACATTATTTAGTGTGATATGTGGTGCTTTTTTCCATTTGTGGTTTCGATAACTCACCTAGAGATACAAGCTGTAGTCATCCGAAAGTTGTAGATCCAGACGCTGTTTTCCACCAGTTTATGGTCTCTGCGAGACGTAGTCAATGAGAAATCTCGTTTATTGAGTGTCCTGTCTGCTCCGGGAGCCTCTGGACAACGAGGTGAGATATTCAAGAACTGGAGGTGGCGGCAGTTTCTGTTAGCGACAGCTGGCAACGTCTGCATCGCCCAGAGACGCCGTCGTGTGAGGGACAATTTACAGACATCAAGGGGCCGAGTATGTGATGAGAGAGAAAGCACATGGTGTCGTTGCATCTTGTTTTCCTGTAATAACAACAAAAATGTCTTTAAAAGAATCAGAATCAGAAGAGCTTTATTACCAAGTATGTTTACACACACAAGGAATTTGACTTGACGACAGGAGCTTCCAGTGTAGAAGAAAGTACAAACATAGTGCAGACATACATGATTCCTGGCTGCCATTTGCGGCGCCATCATCAATAGAGATTCCAAGATATTTTTACTTAAAAAGTGTTACGTCCCATGTCGTAGGTTGTACTGTTCTCAGGGTAGTCATTTGATTTTGATTGTTTTATTCTCTATGCGATTTAGAATAGTTTTTTTTAAATATATCTTTGTTTATTTCATTTACACTACTTATGTATTATATATATATTATGCTGACACCTAGTGGTGTGGAGGATGCATTACACAAAACTCAGCCATCGATTAACAACTTCTGCAAACAAAAGTGTCGCATAATATTATTTAGTCTTAAATAAATGTTATTTTTAGCTGGTCTTGTTATCTCAACAAGGCGGTCTCCATCAGGATACTCACTCTGTAAACATAAAACCTCTTTTTGGGGCACTGATATGACTTGAGAATTCACGTGAGCATACATTATTTTGAAATATATTTTCAAATGTACTTTTTATTATTATTTTAGTAAGCATAGACCTCAATAAATTCAGCTGGATTTATGCTTAAAACAAGAAAAACACATACAAACAATTCTTAATATATTATTATCTGCAGTGTTGCTTCTTGTGTAAATGTCGTGTGTTTAAATATTTGGTCCCACTTTATATTAAGTGGCCTTAACTACTATGTACTTACATCAAAAAAATAAGTGCAATGTACTTTGTGTTCATATTGTGTTGAAAATCACTTTTGCTGCTATTGAGGTGGGATACGGGTAAGGTTAGGGACAAGTTTGGTGGTTTGGGTAAGATTAAGTGTCAACAGTGTAATTATAAATTAATTACAAATGTAATTACATGCAGGTTTTTTTTTTAAATAGTACAATGTAAAAGCATGTATGTACACAATAAGTACATTTGTAATGCTCGGCCTAATAAAAGGCTGGCCAAAAGGTACCAAATCAGTAAAGCTAATAGAACTAGATGTTTCAATCCCTTTAGTAGGAAACTCTTGATAGTAGCAATCGGTGTGGAGTGGTTAAAAAGAGGGTAAGGTATGTCATTGGGGTCATCAGGTGGGCACCCTGCTTCATCGACGTTTCGTTGATTGAAGCCCACAACGTCTCCAAAAGGCTCAACGGTGTACCCAGCGTCCCAGGTACACCCCCCTCCATGCCATACCCTCTATATGGCAGGGGCGTCCTTCTCCCTGAGTCGGGCCTAAGCCTGACCGCATACCATCTGTCTCTACCTTGCTGCCCAGATGGGGTCCTTACGCTTGATCCAGAGCCAGTTACTGCTTTTTTCAGCAGCACTTGATATGGACTTGATGGCCTGTTGGAGAGAGCG